CGCGGGAGCGAGCCTGCACGCTCCTCGGCGGGCATTGCACCAGGGGTTTCTGCAGGCCACCGCGTTTGGCGCAAACCACCCCATGCTCACCTAGTCCTCCCTTACGGAACCTGCTCAGTCCTCCCGGAGAAGCGCCTGGCCACAATCTAAGGCACTATACCGCCCTAGGAGATGCTGTACCACCTCCTTACCCCGCCCCGGGCTGCGGAGGGACTGGAAACCAAACTACACACTCTGCAAAATTCCTCCGGCCTCTTTGCAAGAAGTGCTTTGCAAGCCTCAGCTTTTAAACCGAAACCGAGGCTGGGCAAGTCAGCTCTGCCAAGCTAAACGTTCCCCACGGAGTCAAATGAATGTGGCGTTTGTGACTCTCCAGCTTAAAATTCAGGCCTGGAGAAGCACCTTGCCCACCCGCTGTCAGCCCCGTCAGAAGTGACTCCAAAACCCCGGTGACACAGAAGCGTTGGCCACGACGGGATGCGCTGCCGCGATTCGGGGCGGCGCCTCATTTTTATAAGGCTTTATAGGAGCCTCACTAATAAGGAGGAACTTCTGGTGTCCTAAAGGGTTGGCGGGGAGCGGGCAGGGAACAAATGAGACCAAGAGGACAAAATAGGTAGGGCAGGTCAGGTAGGTCTGAGCTGGAAGAAAATGCAGCCTTGCATTTGTTTGCCTGCCACCGGTCCCCGAGCAGAGACACCTTGCAGCAAGGGGGGCTGCCGCAGGGCACCACACCACGCTACCTGGCCCTCCTTCAAGCGCTTTTTCACCCTGGTGCAACACACCCACGCTGGCCACTTTCACTAGCAGTGACGTTGGTACCACCCAGCATGTGCAGATAGGCGCCTGCATTGTGCTTGGGAAGGCCCGGCACCAAACACGTCATCCCCCCCCGCCCCCCCTTGAGCTGGCTTGACACCCCCACCCCTCCCAACGGCCTCCGTTTGAAAGAAGAAAAACAGAAAAAAAAACTACAAAAAACCCGAGCGTGGCGCACCTAGTCTTTTCACTATGTGGTTTGTGGTTCCAACCAAACAAAACAATTGGGCATAGCAACATCTCCAAAACAGCCTCTGCCTCTCTCACGTGCCCAAGCCCCCCTTCGACAGCACTGCAGCGGTGGAAGTTCAAAAAACAGGAGCCTTGGCCACACCGGGCGAGCACGGGGAACAGGGAAGGTGTAGCTCAACTTCATCGCTTCTTTGTCACACCAACCCCTCTTGCCTTCTCCTCATCTCTTGCTGAGACTGGCTGAGTTAGTCACGCTGTAGAGAGGTGCCAGGTTGCACGGGTAGGGAGGACAGCAGTGAAGCTTGGATCAAAGTGTCTTTGAAGAGCAGACATGAAGAAAGTGTCCTCAAAGGACCCAGAAAGCACCCCTCCTTAGCGTGCCACCTGCTTTTGGCCATGGTTACAGACAGGATGGCAGCCAGATGGGCCACTCTGTGCCAGTTTAGCTTTTCTTACACATCTCCCCTGTTGCAAGGATGTGCTGGGAAGACTGCTCTCGTTCATGTGGCATCTGGTAGAGCAAAAGGGTCCTTGGGAACTTTCCACCTCCTTCATGAAGGTGATCCTGCAGGCACAGTTCAGCCCCAGCACAGCAAGGCTCACGGGAGCTGCCACGCGAGGGTCTGATTCATCGCTCGAAGAAGGACTAAGCAGCACTTGCCGCTTCGGCAGCAACGCCGGGCTGCAGAGAACCTGCTCCGGCGGCTGCAGCAGCTCTTGTAAGAGCTGAGCTGCAGTCACGGTTGGGCAGCGTTGCGTGGGGCTGATTTCACTGTCATTTGCACATGTCTGGCAGGTGGACCATGAGCCACTGAAGCAGCCCTGAGCCCCACCCTCGAGCCTCCCACCTTGCGATAAGAAAAGCGCCGCTTCGCTTGTAGAGCCGAGGGGCTCTCAGCACTGGAGGCAGAAAGCGGGCAGGGGAAACCGCTGAGTAGTCACCCTGCAAGGGCAGGTAAAGCTTATGACCCCGAACCAGTGAGCTGACACCATCACCTGCATGTCACACGTTCTGGAGGTGCTGCTATGTTTCTTCGCACCGTTGGGGCAGCTGACTGCATCTCTGAATTCCCCTGACCAAGACACAAGAGCCTGCGGACGCCCATACGCCAGGCAGCTCAGAGTCACCTCCGGCAAGCTTCTCCACCTCGGAGAGCAGGGCGCAGGCCTGATGTTTCTAGGAAAGCAACTGCACAGGTTCTGGAGGTCAAGGACCCCCGAGCCTCCAGAGCGTGACAGGAGAGGAGCTGGGAACACTGCTGCTAGCAGGCTTTCGGGTGCCGGTGACAGACAGCGCGCTTCCTTCCCCACAGCACACCTGGGGAGCTCGCTGCCTGGAAGCTTCAGGCCAGCAGCGTAGGCAACGAGAAGAGGGGAAGAAGCACACGAGCTCTCTCAAGAGACCCTTTCTTTGGCGCTGACTTTACTTTCTTGCGAAACGGCAGCTGCACGCTTTCACTTTTGTGCCACAGATAAGCATCGCCCAGAAACAGGGGCTCGTCAAAGGGGTGCACCGCAGGCTGGGACGATCTGGTGGGGGGCAACGGGCTCATCAGGCGCATTTGGGAGTCATCTGCATGGTACCGGGGAGGTTGGTAGCAAGGCTCAGGGCTGGACCTGGCTTGGGCAAAACCCTTTGCTACGCTGAAACACTTTTGGGTGCTCAGGCGAGATAGCATCTCGGAGAGGTCAGCTATTCCCTGTGCTACTTTCTGTCTTCTTTAAGGGCAGCATGATAATGAAGATAACATCAATCTGTCGCTAAGAGAGACATTCAGGTCATGTGTGACACTAGCTGGGGGGGGGGCATTAACCCTTTAGGTGCCGGGCTCGCCTATAAAGGCATCAGTAACTTTTTAACCAGGCCCAGACCAAAGGACAGCACTCCAACTGCAATATCGGCCCTGCAGAGAGGAGGTCACGGTTCGGTTCCCCGAGCGGTGGCAAATCCACTTGCAAGCCACTTTGTCTCTCTTGTCCCTCTTACCTCTGCTCTGCTCCGTCTATTCAGCTCTTTAGAGCAGCAGCTCGGCACACCAGCCCCGCCGCCGGGGTTCTAGGTATTGCGGCGATGCAGATAACGCTGCGAGATGGAAAGCCCCAGCCTGCACAGAAGATTTTGAGGTCCTACACGCCGCAGAGCAAACAAACACCACAGCTCGCCTATAAACCCACGCAAGTGCCTCGGGGTGCTCAAGAAAAGCTGAAAACAATTCAGCCCAGCGTGGCAACTGCAAACAACCACAGGGCCAGAGGGAGGATTTGAACCTCCTCTGGACCTGCATGACTAGGAGGACAGCAGCAGAAGTAGGTCAGAGCGGTGGAAAAATAAAAATAGGGCAGAAAGGACAAAGAGCAGTGCGGTCGACCTGCCCTCTCTACGGGCAGGACACTTCTCTGCCCCAGGCTGTCAGCGTTTATCTGCGCAACGTGGAGTATCACAAAGGATGCGGGTGGTTGGGGCACCTGTAGGAGCCAGCAGCTTGCAGGATCCAGCTCTGACACAGTCAAAGGCAGGACTGCAGGTGGCACAGAGGCAACGCTGAGCTGTTTAAGCCAGCTGGGCTCCAGGGCTGAGGTATCTGGGTCTGCGTGTTAGGTGTCTGTGACAGCATGGCACCTAGCACCAGCCACCCGCCCACACCAAACACCACACTGCTGCATGAACAAGGGAGTTTGAAACTAGCTCAAGTAAGCCAGCGTGAGCTTTAGCACATCTGCCTGCAGAGCAGACGCATCCCAACGTACCACTTGCCTAATTTTAATAGATGCGCTCTGTCTCCGTTCCCTAGGTCACTTCAAAACTGCAAAATCTTGCTTAACGTAAGATTCAAACTGGTCCCAAAACCAGAGGTGTCCAGAGACCGCCCTTCCTGCGGGTCCCCGCGGCTATGGAAACTGAAGTTCACCAACTCCTGAGCAGTTACATTTCTCCTTCAAAATAGATAAGAAAATTGCATCAACCTCTATCTGAGCAACCATGGCAACTTGTTAAATTAGGTCAAGATGTGGGGGCAGATAACGCAGCTTTGAAAAGCTGCTCGCGAGCTGGGTGAAGAACACATCAAACACAACTGGAGCTTCCGCCAAAATGCACCTTCTCACCAAAGCATGCGCCTCCTAGGGCAGATACCATCAGAGCTCTGCCACGGCTGTGATAAAGCACAGTGCCACCTCCCAGGGCCACCAGCAAAACAGGCCCTCGGTAACAAAACCTGAACAATGTTGTCAAGCTCCTAAAGCCAACACAGAGAGCCCTGGAGAAAAAGGATGCCGTGACCGTCCAAGGCTTCGCTCTTCCACCTCTGCTCTGCACATCCTAAAATGGCACACTGAGGCACCTCGGGTTATCTGTTGGGTGCTCCACCGGTTGGTGACCAGATGCCTGGGGTTGGACATGCCCTCACCTGGGTGAAGAATGGAAACCAGGGGTCCTGGCTGCTTTGGGACCCAGTGCTGGTAATCCCCTGGTCTACTCACTAGGCTCCACCTCCTCACCAGAGCTGGAAACACAGACTAGACTTGTAGTTCCTCTGCTCTAGCCAGTAGACAGCACTTCCTCCCCTGAGCAAAGTAAAAGCAAAGTGAAGAACCAAGGAGCTCTGCCCGAGAGTCCTCACGCCCCTCGCTCAGCTGCACCGAGAGAGAGGTCCAGCACTTCTCCCCCAGCCATTCTGGATATCTTTTGCAGAACGACCCTAATCCAAAGCCGTGCTGAGGGGGCCCAGTTCTCCTATGGTTTCTATCGTGTTATCCCTCGCTCTCACTGTTACCTGTTTTCACAGCAACCTGGCTTCACTTTGCTCCCGTCCTGCGCTCCCTTGGCACAGGCAGGGGGAGGCGAGAGAGGTCCAGCACTTCTCCCCCAGCCATTCTGGATATCTTTTGCAGAACGACCCTAATCCAAAGCCGTGCTGAGGGGGCCCAGTTCTCCTATGGTTTCTATCGTGTTATCCCTCGCTCTCACTGTTACCTGTTTTCACAGCAACCTGGCTTCACTTTGCTCCCGTCCTGCGCTCCCTTGGCACAGGCAGGGGGAGGCGCAGAAAATACAAATCTCTGGAGTCAAACGTCTGCAGAGCTCATCTGTTCAAAGATCTTTCCCAAAGGTCAGCGCAGGCTGTGGCTGTTTCAGTACCGAGCGAGCAAGCGTCACTCCAGCCCAAGGATTTCCCAGTGGTCGGTGATTCTGGAAGCCTCCAATGAAAAAAATAAGGCGCTCCCAAATATTGATCACTCAGAAATACTTGGGCCAAGGGATATCTTCCCAGCTCCAAATGGGGCTTGCAATGAGGCAAGGGAAAATGTTATGCAGCGCAAAGCGCTTGGAGCTGTGCTCTGGCACGGCATTAACTGAAGTCTCACTTTCCTGGTGGCAGGAGTCCAAGGACACTCTTTGGGGTGATAATGCTCCTTGGCAAAGCCCCAGGGTCCAGCCACTGACTTCGGCTCCGCGCTCGCGGAGGCAGCCGGGAACGCTGCCTCTCCATAGGGGGGCTGTTCTTTTTAATGAGGTGGAGCAAAAGCGGAGCGCATCGTCCAGCGACCCAGCTCTGAAAATAAAGCCCCCAGTTTTGCCGGTGCCTCCGTGCCTCAGTTCCCCTACCCGCTAAAAGGCGAGCAACGCTCCTGCCCAGGCGCCGGGTACCCAAAACACTTTCGCAGGCCTCAGTGAAAGGCGTTATCAGGAGAAAAGAGGAAGAAAAAGTGTAACTAGTGCTCGCGGGTCTCTTTTCTTAGGAACATCAACTTCCGTCAAACGGTGGAGCAACGGTGTGTCCCGGGGCACAGCCCCTCCTACCGCTCATGCCTCTCTTTGCCACATCCTCCGGCCAAGAACCATCCCGGAATGGCAGAGCACTCTTTTATTTTGCATAGGCCTAGTTGAAACAGTCTCATTCAGCAGGCCCGGCTGAGCCGTCTTTCTAACTACAGCTATAGTAACAAACCACTTCCTTTTTTACACGTAGCTCCTAAAATTATCTCTCCACCTCTCCTCCCCTCTGCATCTCCCCCTGACAAAAAAAAAAAAAAAAAAGTTATCAGCCCGAAGATGAGCCGAGCGTGGGAGGAGATTTCAGGGACAGTCACACCTCAGGATCTGCTCTGAACCTTTTGATGATCTTTATCTGCACAAACTATTTCCACCACTTGGCTCCTCCGGGCCACAACCCTGCTACCAAGCAGGTCAGGAGGGATCAGCATTTACAAGAGAAGGGGGACTGGCAGGAGGCTGCCCTGCAAATTTTACCTATAGTGCGGGGAACAGACACGGGCACAGAGGAACGGGAAAGCATCCTCCCAGCACTAGCTTGAAGCTCCGCTGCACCAGGTCTCTCTCCGGGGAGACAGGAGACAGCCAGCTTGCTGAAGGGCTGAGAGCTGTCATATAAAGAGCTGGAGTCTCCACGGCCTCACACCTTCTCATCTCTCCCCGTTGCAGGCGATGGAAAATGTTCGGGTCAGCTTTGGCACTGTCCCACCCTTGCCTCACACAACTGCAAAGAGCAAAACAAGGTGCTTCCTCCGAGCCAAAAGGGGATGAGATCATTTTGCATCACACGCAGCAATGCTGGAAATGCAGCTGCTCCCGCCTGAGATCAGAGACCGCAAGCAAGCGGCCAGCAAAGTTGCATAAAAGTAGTGGAGAGGGAAGTGAGGGCTCTCCAGTACCTTGCGCTCTCAGCAACACAAAGCAGACGTCAGTCCCTACGAGGCTCAACTGGGAGGCATCCAGGTATAAGTGAAAACGCAAGGCATTAGCAACAGGGGAGAGCCATCAGCAAAAGGCACCAGATCAGCTGGAGATCTCATATAAGTGGCTGACGAGATGAGCCTAAAATCCTGCACTCTGCCAGATCCTAGATCCTCCACGAGTTTCGGGGTGCCCACGCTTGAAGAAAACACACAGCTGAGCGCTCACAGGCGTGCCTGCGCTAGACCCATATGCCCGTGGCTCATCCCAGGGCCAGGAGCACCCCAAAAGCCCTCACTCGTTGACTTTTGGACTGGCGATGCCAACCCGGGGCAACCCAGAGACCGTGGAAGCTCTGCAGAAGGAGGTGTGAACATGGATGCTACCCTCACCGCACCTCCCCAGGAGCTTACAGCCCTCAAGGGCTGCCGGCACCACCCAAG